TTTTGTAAGTAGGAACTGTTTGGTTTTTGACCCCATTGCTTGTTATGACGTGGATTTGGATTCTCCTTTTAACTCTGTTTGCCTGATCTTGTAAATAGTTGTATATCATTGTAAATATAGAGGGTTGGGAGAAAGTAAGGAGTTTGACACCATTTTGTTTATTGTAACCTTTTTGATCTCCGTTTTTGTTTAGGGAGTTAGGTTAGTATATTGTACTTTTTATTTTATTCTATTTTGTTTAGGGTTTAGGAAAGAGGTCTTAAAATAAGGAAGTTTTGTTTATTATTTTGGCCTGGTCAACTCCTGAAGGAAATTCCCTATTCATTGATTTATTGATGATTGTACCTTTTCTTTGTTTGGTTTCATTAAAAACCCTCAAAAGAATTCCCGCTTCCTCTCTCTCTTTTCATGTTGCGTCCTTTACCCCTAGACGGGGCGTAACAGTCCAGAAACATTACATTCAGATCACACTTAAGTATATTCTGTTAAAGCATATTATTTCCTTAAGTACTCTTTTAAAATATGCTAAAGTGCGCTTCTTTTTTCACACATCCTTGATCAAGTTTCACTCTGAAAAAAAGTGACTGAGGAAGTTCAGTGGCTTGTAAACACAGTTTCATGTTAACCTTTAACCTGCTGTCTAGTCTAGTTGCTGATATCCTGCAGTCAGTGATTATAAACGGCGCAAATGTTTGAAATATTATAGTCGTCTGCATACAGGATGGACATAGTGCTGATTCCAGACACAGTTACTGCGAATGTGCTGTTTTGTGTGCTTCGGCTCCTCGTTAACATGCTGAGATGTTACAATTTTAATGCAAATAATAAGCCAAGATGATGACAAAGGAGAGAGAAAGCCAGCAGGGGTTTATTAAATTTGTGCAGTTGAATATTTCCCTTCTTATACGTGACCCAGATTCAAGACACAACGAGGCATTGGCGGCTCATGACAGAGTTTTACAGGTCTGAGTCCAGATGAGGGACAGAGCTGCTGGATGCTGTGAGCCGCAGCACATGCGATCCGGCCGCGTTGTCTGCTGTTTCTTCAGCAGCTGCTGCTCTCGTTTGCCCTGCAGCCAAACACAGCCCGACTTCAGCATACGAGACACTGTAACTGTATTGCTCTCTCCTTCCTGAGCTCTTTCTAAATTTAAACCGGCCCTTGCAGCTATGTGTTTCAGTTGTAGAGCAGCGAATAAAGGCAAACGAGCTGCTCTGGAATCAGATGTTCACTTCCTGGACTGCCATTCAATTAAAAGTCTTTGTCGTGGCCCCCTTTTTTTTAATTAGGCTCTGACTCACATTTAAGCACAATATAATGCACACGTCATTAATAAAGAGAAAAATGAGCAGTGTCTCTCTCTCTGTCCGACAATATTCTGCTCTCGCTTCATGTGCTAACAGTAAGTGACATGTCCGTCTGTGTGTGTGTGTGTGTGTGTCTGTGTCTGTGTGTGTGTGTGTGTGTGTGTGTGTGTGTGTGTGTGTGTGTGTGTGTGTTTTGGTCGCTAACACACAGGTGTCCAAACATTCGAGCGGCCGCTGGGGTTTGTGTTAGTGACTGATGGCAGATCTGTGTGTCTAATGATGCTTGCCGGCCTTATGGGAGACGTATTAGGATCTGATTTACTGGAGAAACACACGACAGCATGTTTGCTGACCTGAAGAGACACACACACACACACACACACACACACACACACACTCACTATGAGGCTCTTCTGCAGGTGTGTGTGAGGTGAAAACTGTCTCTTCATTGTTTTCTATTTTAGACGCTGCTGAATCTCCAGCTCATCTGTGAAAACACAATGAGGCGTCACAATCACAGCTCTGCCGCTTCTGAGCGCTTTAAACCGTGGAAGGATTACTCATAATATATATGATTTTATAGACATGAACCACTAGTTCTGCATCTTTAAAGAACTAGTGGTTCATGTCTCTAAAATCATAGGAATACAATGACACTTTGTGTTAGTGCTCTCGCATATAACAAGGAACGTTCTGTCAGTTCTCTTAAAGAACAACTTAATAGCACAAAAACATTATACATTGTTCATGGAACTTTTTTTTTCTGAAACATTTTAGTTGGACGTTCTTCTAAGTTTTTTTTTTTTTAATGTTACTACTTGTTTCCTTACAGTTTGTATAACCAAGAAAGAAAAAAAAACACTTTTTTAAAAACATTTCACATTTTGTTCAGAGAACAACATAAATAACGTTTTAACGGGAACTATAGCAAAACGTTCTTAGAACATATTTTTGTTAGTGTCCTTCCAGCGAACTTGAAACGTTCTGGCTAATATTTTCGCAAGGTTCTCTCAAAGTTATGAACAAATGTCCAATAATGCTAACAAAATATTTGTTCAGTTGTCTAGGCTTTCATAATGGTCTCAAAATATTATTCATACATCAATCATGGAACTATTTTTTTTTTTTTTTACATTTTTTTTCTACTCGTTTCAGAACGTTCAGCAGTAACATTCATCTAATGATTGCAAAATGATAAAAGTGCATGTTAATTTAACGTTCAAATAACCAAGAAAAAAAAACATTAAAAAAAAACAAAATCCTTTTTTTTTTTTTTTTTAGCAAAACGTTCTGTCGGTGTTTGTTCTTTTAGCTAGGAGAAGTTCTGAAATAAACAGAGCTGATCTCGCTTCTGTTATTCTAAACAGATAATAGATAAAGACAAAATCAATTGATCCGTCGATATGAGGCCTTTACTCGCAGCTGACGAGATGATATTAAATATCATGGTCCATCTGAATCAGATCTGCAATGTGCGGCGCGTTTCTCCGGCCATCCGGCGGCGCGAGGCGGAACTGCAGGCGCGCGCGTCAGTCTCACTCATACACACACACACACACACACACACAGTCAGGTATCTCCTCTCCGCGCGCGCGTGTTTCTCTGTGATGCTCGCGGGCGTCGGACGCGCGGATGATCGCGGCTGATTGTCAGTGTGTGGAATAAGACGCTCTTCATCCTCATCTTCATCCTGATCCTCCTCATCGCGGCTGTTTCTGGCTGGAGTGACAGAAAGACATAAAACCTTCCTCCGGATCCTCAGCGCTCCTCTGAAGGCTTTTGGGTGAGTCTTCATCATGCTCTTCATCTTCTTCAGCATCTTCATCCTCCTCATCTTCCTCGTGCCGTACTGATGATTGTGTGCTTCTCTCGTGTGTTTCAGTCAGTGCTTTGTGATTCTTCAGCGTTTGGAGTAAGTACAGATACTTTCACTCTCTGTAAGTGTGTGTGTGTGAGATCGGGACATGTGTGCATAAACTCCCAGTGTGTGTGTGTGTGTGTGTGTGTGTGCGTATGTGAGAGAGAGATATGAGCTCAGACTCGTTCTGTCAGGAGTGTGTAAATGTGTGTGTGAACCGGACATGTGTGCAGGAAGTGTGTGTGTGTCTGTATTTCAGGTTTGTTGTTGTGGGATTTCTGTGTCTCTTATGATGATGATGATGATGATGATAAAAATGTCAGAAAAGCTTGTAGTGAGACACAAATAAGCCGCTGAGAGTGTGAGATGTGCACAAACTTACATCTGTGATTCTGTGAGGAGTGTGTGTGTGTGTGTGTGTGTGTGTGTGT